TTTATTAGAAACAGAACAACAAAAAAAAAAAACACTTTCGGCAAATGAATAGCGTATTTTACTTTAAATATACAGATTTTCAATAGCCACCGTCTCGCAAGTGGCAAAACGATGCAACCTTAAAAAGCTACATTCAGGCACAGATGTGAAGAAATTTGAAGACTAACTTGCTTCTGGTAAAATCCCTGTTTCTTAAACAAAACAGTTCTAGTTCCAAGCAGGTTGTAGGCTACGAGTAAGTCATTCAAACCAGATACATCCAGTCAATTCATATATTAAGTCGAGTCATAAGTAATTTCCGTTTGTGTGAAAGCCAATTGTAATGACGAATATATTATCCTACTAATCATATATGGCAGTGAAGAATAAATTCGAAATACACTAATATACCTTGGTTTTGCATGGCAATTGTAGCATACACAGTGGATTAATGGAAAAATGGTCTCTGCAACATGAGGTCATATACAGCAAGAAAAACAGAAAATGATTTTTGAATTTGGTCTGTTCTACCATACACTATTCAACTGGCCTTGCACCAGTCGAGTTTACTGTTTTCGATCATGGCAAAGTGATTTGATGACAAAATCTTTCTCCTATGAAAACCAGATACAAGGGTTCGGTCAAAAACTTTTTCACATCAAAACATGCTGAATTTTACCGAAAAGGTATCAAAGAGCTGACTGACGGCAACAAGTGATTGCAAATAATGGTGAATACATAATTTGTAATTCATTTTTTGAAGAATAAAGTTGATCAACAAAAACGGAAATTATTTATGACTCAACCTACTATGTAACAATCCGACTGTCACATGAAAATATACAGTTAATCATAAATTATTAACACTTTCACAACTGTAGTTGTACTTGTACGTCTTGACAAAATTTGTTGCTTGCTGTTGACATATATTTAAGATTTCAAGACTGTCAAATGACAGTCCCTTACTGCTATTCGCAAACCAGCATAGACATATAGTAGCATACAATACAATCTGTTTTATGGAGTATTTTTATTATATTGTGTATCAGAGGATATTGTTTAGCTCAGTCTGTACTGCAGAGCATCCAATCAAAATCAAATGAGAAAATAGCAGTATCTTCATAGTCATTTATTATCAGTAAAGGGCAATTTACTATTTTTCAAAAATCGGCCAGTACAACCAGGCAACAATGCAGAAGTGAAAATGTTAATAGTCTCCACGCTCACAATTGTTTATATATATATATATATATATATATATATATATGATTAGTTGATTTTTTTTTTTTTAGTGGCATATCAACTTGCATATATGTGTAAATAAATTTCAGTTAAAGTATATCTGTAAAAAGGACAAAATGAATAGAAAGACTTAGCCACTGCATTTAAACCTCTCAGGGATTTTATCAAGGCAAAGTTATTTTGCAACAAGAGCAAAAACATTATTGGTTTTTCAACATTTTTAAATTTAGGAATGCTCATAAATATTCATCAGGTTAGCCAAAAAGTCTAGGCAAGCTATGGAGGACGTGAAATGAATTCAATCTAAGTGAGTACATGATGTTCTTGAAAGTTTTTTTTTTTTTTTAATGCATATTAGTATTTAAATTATTTTAGTTTGGGATTAATTTATGTCATATTTTTGAATTATATATAATATATATATATATATATATATATATATATATATATATATATATATATATATATATATATATATATATATATATATATATATATATATATATATATATATATATATATATATATATATATAATATATATATATATATATATATATATAATTATGACTGCCATAAAAGACAAAAATCATTTCTATTACCCTCATGATAGATAAAAAGTAAAAAGCTGAAAAACAGGCTAGCTAACTGGTTTTGAACCTCACTCAACAGAGCTAAATCAAAATTAATAAATTAAATAGAATTAACACTAAAAAAATTAAAAAAAAGGTGGACTATGTATTGAAAAAAAATTATTGCTTAGATAGAAATTAGTTGGAGGCCCAGTATGAAAAGTCTTTCTGTTTACACAGAGAAGGCTTCAATGATAAAATATATATTATGAATTTAACCATTTTCTTTTAATTTTGTTAACATTTTTATAATCATGTTTGTTGGCTTAGGAAAAAGAGTAATTCTTTCAGGTCAGGAATGGAGTTATATGAATTGAATACTTATAAGAATTCTTAAATTTAAAAATATTGAAAAAAAACTAACATTTTTGCTCTTGTATAGAAATACTTATTACAAATTTGTTACAATTTGCCTTGAGAAAGAACCTCAGAGGATGAAACATCAGCCATGATAAGTTTTCCTTTTGTATTTATATATGTGTGTGTATATATATATATATATATATGAATTGCACAAAAGTACTGGTGTTATAGAAACAGTGCTCAATGCCATATAACAGTATGTATATATATATATATATATATATATATATATATATATATATATATATATATATATATATATATATACACACATACACACACATCCATCCATCCATCCACATTAGGGATACACATAACCATGCAAAGTACTACAAAATTTTTAGGTTAATTCTAATTTGAAAGGAAATTAACATTTTTTTCTCTACACACTCAAAGAATATGCAAAGAAACCAATATCTACTTATAAACTCCATGATGAAAGAAGTTGACAGTTTTAAGAAAGGTCCCTGCTTTCAGTGAAAAATCTCTACTGGCACTTGTATTTGGTACAAAAGAGTACCTCTTCTATGTATAACAGTAAATTTCATTTTCTCCAAAACTGGCTTTAAATTGAAGTTTCATTTTGTCAAATGGTTGACTTCACTGAAAAATCAACACGTAGAAAATAAAAGGTAGATAACATTTCTATTGAAGTATTCTCTTTAAATTATGTATCATTTAAAAGTAAATAAAATTGAAATATCAATATTAAAAGAAAAAAAATTTAAAAAAAAAAAAAAAAGTGTCATATAAATCAATATAGAAGATTTTTTTTTAATATGTTCTTAAGCATACACCACATCACGTTAAAACATTACAATGTTGACCCTGTTCAGTACATAGATGGGTGATTATTACTTGGGAATACCAGATGCTGTAAGTTTGGATGTGTGGGTAGGGTAATGGAGAGACAAGTTCCAGTTCCCATTCGATTTGTAATATTCACTTATGTGCAAATACTCTTGGGAAAGGTAAGAATCCACATTTTTTTTTTATTCATTTTTAAATATTCATAGAAAAATATTAAACATTACACAAATGAAAATTACAGTGATAAAAAGGATCAATTATCATAATTAAAACAACAATTGAATTAAAGGGTATAATTTTAAATTGATAGATAATTTTACAAAAAAGTACTATTAAGATATAAAAAGTTAACTTCCTTTCAGTTTCCATGCTTTGATTTTTTGATGAACCATTTGGCAAATGTTTTCAAGCAAACGCTATCGTCATTATCACCCCTTCGTACAGTTTCCATTCACCTCGAAGTCTCAGAAACCCTTTTTCTTTTGAGATTTTCTTTCTAAAACAGACAATGTATAGCAGAAATACCACCAACATAATGGTTAGACATAATTGGCAATAGTGCCTTCATCAAGCTAATATCTTACCATTATATAAGAGGTATTTCTGCTGCACCCTAGAAAAAAAAAAAAAAAAAAAAAAAAAAAAATGATGTGGCTTATACAAGAGTCACTAGTCATGAAACAATTCATTGATTTTAGATTAATAAATAAAAAGATGACTGTAGAAATAGAATTACTATTTCATAGATACAGGCAAGTGACAATAGAAAAAGTCTGCATAAAAGTTTGAAAAAGAAAAAAATTTAAAAAAAAAAAATCTTAAGATTCAGGTTCTTAGTAGAAAACCTCTAACTGGTACTATTTGTAAGTTTCCAGATAATTTGGCATTATACAGCCAATCAAAACAAACACAAAAAAACACTATATGTACAATATGGGCTTAGTGTTTCATAGAAGCGTATAAAGTTGTTTAAATTCATTTTTTTTATTTCCTTGCATGGGGGTCACTGTAGAGTTGTTTTTGCTTTTACATGAAATAAAAATATTTTAAAATAGGAAAAAAAAAAAAACAAAAAAACATTTAAAACAATGTTGAATACTGGCAATATTTCAATTATACCAATTGGAGGAGAGGAAAAATTTCCAAGATTTCAAATTCTGAATATTTGTTGCAGCTGCCAGAAACACAGAATGGGCTTCTAATGCGCATGTGTAAGTTTCATTAAAAATAACAGACAAGGGACAAGTTATGTTTTTATTTAATTTTTTTTGTGTTCTTATAATTTTTTTTTTTTTAATAGCTAAAAGTATAATCGAAAGTGCTCAGACATATAGAACATTCAAACAATTTCTCCATAATCTATGTCCGGAAAAGAAAAAAATTATAAGAACATGAGAAAAATTAAATAAAAAAAAAATTAAGCATAGTTCCCTGTTTGTTGTTTTTAAAAAAAAACTTGTAATTGCTTCCCAAATACTCAATACATATATATATATATTAGTCATATTTTATTTTTATTTTGGGGCAAGACCAGGATTAATCTCACAAAAACAAGGTGGATCTTCCCAGGCCCATATTTGTTATAATGATTTGAGACAAGGTTTTACAAGGCTGGATGCTGTTCCTGACACCGAACTTAGACACTAGTCCAAGTACACCAAATGTTTTTAATATATATATATATATATATATATATATATATATAGCTAGGATGGGATCTCAAGCCTTGCATGACAACCTTCCTAGAGATCTAGAGATGGTGTTTATATATATATATATATATATTTATATATATTGGCCGTTGGCTCCTATTTGAAGCTCATCCACCCTGTGACAGATCTTGTTTTTGTCCTGTAGGGTGACATGCCACCCTTCTCACCAGCTACCATATATCTATGTGTAAGGCAACAAAAAAATTTTAAAAAAATTTGCAATGTTCAATTATTAATAGGGTTTTGAAAGTTACATATTAAACATGCAACAACCCACATTTGAGAGACGGCTTCTTTTATACTGTCAGGAATGTGATGGAAAATTACATTTTCATGAATGCGCTTGATGACTGGATCCACATGTGCTCGTAGCCGAGTGATCTCTTCCACAGAAACCACCTCTGAAGCCTGGCTATATGGCTCTCCATACTTGTAAGGAGAATGGTACATCTTAATTCCGTGTTCCGTGCAGACATCGCCAATCACAAAGTCCACATCCACCAATACCGCATCGTCTTTCTCACACAACTGCAAAATACCAGATTTCAAGAGAAGCTCCGCATCCGACAGGGAATGTGCCAGAAGGCGTGAAGCAAAAGTCACAGCACCGTTTGGTGCCAAACCTATTAATCCTTTATAGGTGTAAGAAGATTTATAATCCTTGTACGACTGGCTTTTGAGTAGCCGTGTAGAGGTGTCTTCATGCCTCAGTTCAGCATATTCAAAGACAACTCGAGTGTCGACATATTTGCTTTCTTGGAAAATGGCCGGCAACATGGATTCTCTGACCTGCTCCCTTGTGGGCCACACAGTCCAGACACCGAGGAAAAAAAACAAAATGTCAGCCCAAGTAATAATAATATTCATTACAGTGGCCACAGGAACTATAAATCGAGCCGCCAGGTCCATCGCTGACAAGCCACGGTACACAAACATTTGATAAAGAACAAATTGGTCAATCAACTGCAGGCCTTTCTCTGACCCAACCGGCTGTAGATCTTCTGTAGCCCAACTGTTTACTCGAATCTTGGACCTCATGATTGATGCATGTTCCCAATCCTCAAGAGTTTGGAAGAATTTGGTAAGAGCATCATAAGAAGCAAAGCCTGTATAGTGTTCAATGATTGCACTGTCAGTGCCATAGCGCTCCAAGGAAAAGCGAAGGGTCTCTACCTTTGTCTGATCTAGCTGCTTACGTAAATCTCGTATCACACCATGAGCATTGTCTAGCTCACTCGGAAGGCTATAGTTGTGCATCATACCAATAACTGGTAGTTCTGTTTCTTGTGAGTCGGGCTTCATATCGGAAGACTTGTCTGGGGTTTTATTAAGCAAATCAGGTTCCGTAGCCGTGTTATCAGCAGCATAATTCGTATCAACAGGGGACATTTCTTTTGGTGTATGTCGAGTTTTTTTTCCTTTTCCCCAGTTGTTCCAACTGAACAGTGTTGGGTATGCATTGTCATTGAGTCTATGTGAATGGCCAGGTTGCCCATACAACTTATTTCTCTTTGTTCTTGGTTTGTAGTCGGTACTGTTGAAATGCTGGCTGCACACAAGGGTGTCCTTTGTAATCCTACAAAATGAAAAAAAACGAAGGCGACTTCAATATGCATCACAAAATAAAAATGCATTGGAAAAAAAATAAAATTGTATTGAATTCACAACTCTATGGATGTAGTCACTGCATTCAACCAATGTTTTTATCCACTGACTATGGCAATAAAGATGAAGACAACAGTCCGAAAATGTAAATAATTACAATACCTCATCTTAGAAATATAGACAGACTATACAATTCCCACCCCCCCACTCTTTCACCACAGACACAACATTGTGAACTTGTCAACATTTACAATATGCCTCCAAATTAACAAATCAACACTTTAATCCACTAGACTATTTGACAGCATTTGTGAGTTCAGTCCCTGTGTTGGGTAGTACAGAGTCAACACATGATGAGCAATAACTGAGCAGTAATTAACCTTTAACATTCTGGAGGTGATTTTGTTTGCAAAGCAAAAATTTTATCTTGTCACTTCAAGGGACTCAGATGAATGAATGAATGATAGAGTGTTTGAATTTTGCAGTTGTGCTGTCATATCCTGCTATGGCAACAGAAAATGACCATGATTGAAATTAAGTAATGCAGTAGATAAGCCTTGAAAAGCAATATAGTGGAAAGGAAAGTAGTGAATAATACAGGGTCAAAAAAAAAAAAAAAAAAAAATACAAGAGGAGATATCCCTACGGTGAGGAAAAAGTATCATGACACAATTTACTCTGCCAGAAATTTTGTAACAGCATGCTGTACTGCTTGGCATTCATGCCAGAAGCTCCAATACAAACATTTCACAGCGTTTGGGTATCAATCTGATGACAGTGCAAAGGATTCAGAAAGAGTTGGAGGAGTCAAATGGTGATTATGAAGGTGTTTGAAGTGATCATTAGCAATGTTAACATTATGCCTCAATTCATCTTCCCTACATCAACTGCCTTGAGGAGGTAGTGCTACCCTGGATGAAGAGGGTGGCTGTCTGAAGTCCCTATGTCTGCCAACAAGACACTGCACCATGACACACAAGCAGGAGAACCCAGTCATCGCTGTCAGACAATATTTGCAACCACATAACCCCTTACATCTGGCCACCTCACTCCCCAGACTGCAACCCTCTTGATTATCTTGTGTGGGGTGCAGTTGAGCAAGAGACCAACAAAGCTCCTTGTAATACCAAAGATGAACAGAAGGCAAGGATTATGGCAGCATTCACCAACTTAAACAAGGAGACTGTCCAGAAGAGTTGCAGGAAATTCCGAAGTTGTCTGGAGACCGTGGTTGAAGCTAATGCCAATTTTATTTAAGAAATTTTCTCTTTGGTAAATATATCTGTTAAAATGAGATGCCAGTGTTATTTTCATTTTTGCGTAATTTAAACTACAATTTATCCATCGCACCCTGTAAACATAAACAGCAGAACTAGAACAGCCTACCCAGCATAGATTAAATAAAGGGTTCAATTCAGCATTCCTTGAAGGTTACCTGGATCAGTAGACACCTGAAGAAGGCACAACAGCCGAAACATTGATAATAACAGAGATGAGGACTGCTTCACGGATTAGTTTTCTCAACCTTTTGCAGGTGGATTAAAGCCAGAAAATATTTCTAGATTGTAACAATTTGGGGTGGGGGAGATAATAATGATTTACTGACACAAGTCTTACTAATTAACCCATAGCTTGGGAGAGAAGAAGTGGATTCATACTTTTTCCCAAGGGAAAGTATGAATCCACTTCTATGAATGAATAAGAGAAAAGTATGAATCACTTCTATATGAATAAGAGAAAAGTATGAATCCACTTCTATATGAATAAGAGAAAAGTATGAATCCACTTCTATATGAATAAGAGAAAAGTATGAATCCACTTCTATATGAATAAGAGAAAAGTATGAATCCACTTCTATATGAATAAGAGAAAAGTATGAATCCACTTCTATATGAATAAGAGAAAAGTATGAATCCACTTCTATATGAATAAGAGAAAAGTATGAATCCACTTCTATATGAATAAGAGAAAAGTATGAATCCACTTCTATATGAATAAGTATGAATTTTCCTTGCATGTAAAGGAATATAATAAACTTGACTAGAATTGTTTTTTCTTATGGATTCATTTTCAGGTTATTTAAAGCCAGAAAATATTTTTAGATTGTAAGAATTTTGGGGGGTGGGGAGGGGAAGATGATTATGATTTAGTGATGCTTCTTACTAATTAACCCATAGTTGGGGAGAGAAGAGGTAGATTCATACATTTCCCAAGGATATCTGCACATAAATGAATATTATAAACCCAACTGGAATTGGATCTCAGCTCTCCAATTAACAATTCTGAGCCATTATCCATTACACCATCTGCACATCCAAGCACTTGGTATCCCCAAGCGGTCACCTATCTAGTTACTGACTAGGCTTGATGTTGCTTAACTTCAGTGAACATATGAGAACCAGTGTTTTAATGTGATGTAACTGTAGACCCCCCCAACTGGAATTGGAACTTAACTTTCCAATTAGCAATTCTGAGCCATTAACAATTACACCACCTGCACATCCAAACTTACAGCACCCATCTAAGTACCGACCAGGGGTCGACATCACTTAACTTTGGTAATCTTATGAGAATCAGTGTTTCAACATAATATGGCCAAAAGCCAACAAAGACGAGGACATCTTTCCAAATGTAAATATAAATTAAGACATCAGCAAATGGCTCATTGGTTAAAAAAATGAATTATACAACCCTGAAGATAACAAATATTGCAAAACATTTAAGGGGTACGTGAGATGATATAAGGGTATAGAGATGATATGTAGTTCGTATTTTTTTGTTCACTCAATACGAAGGCCAAGAGCCAATCAAGGTAGAGCATTAGTGAATGTGGTTGTTGTTCGGGCATGAAAAGAAGAAGTAAGACATGCATATTATGAGGACATGTAGGTTAAATAATAGTTGACCATAGTCTTGGAGAGATCAAGGTTGCAGTGATTGAGTAAGCATCCTTTTGGGAGTCTGTTCCACAAAATTCTTCTGGGGAATAGGTTGTCCGAGTGAAACTTCCTCTTCAAAGGAATGGGGATGAGCTGATCCTGTGCATATGCTATGGCGGGTTCTAGATGTAAAGGTCTGAACTGGTGAAATTAAGGAATGTAGCATGTCTGAAAATAATGCAATCTAAATAATGATAGAGCAGTGAGAGGTTAGCAACATTTTGTCTGTTGGAAAGGAACTACAGAGTCAGTTTGGTTTGGTTAGTTGCATATCAACACCTTATGAGTTATTAAATGCTGAAATTTAATTTTCTTGGGCACTTTAGTAATGTTTTTTTACTATTAAAATCTATTTCTGGAAATGTTTCTACAATTAAAATCTATTGCTGGTATTTTTACTATAAAAATGTATGTTTATACTTTCATAGTGTTTTGACCCCAGGTATTACCACTTTGGGTCAGGGTGTACATGTGAACAAAGGCAATTAAGACTTGGTTCCATGCTCCTCAAATCAGAGGGACTTGCTGCTGGATAGAGTTTATCATCATACCCAGGATGCTACAGAATATGAAATAATTCATTACCCACATGCCATGCAACTACTTTTGAACTCTGTCAAATCTGGACAATGTGGAATCAGCAGTACAATCCCAGACATGGAAGCAATACTCTTTGTCCAAGATGGCTCTTGTGAAAGATAGAGCACGGCAGTAAGAATCAGGTACTTTCAGAAGCAGTACAAAGAACTAACCATTCTATCAGCATCAAAGCTGAAGAAAGAAACCATTACACTATCTTTCTAAAGAAGACATGGCAATTTGAAGATAATAAAGGGAGCTGTGGAGGGTCATGATTACTAACATCCTGAAGTATTAAAAAAATCCAATTAAATAAACTCTTTTGAATTTTGTAACAGTTAGAAGGTTTTTATTTTTTTATTTAATTATTCAGTCGAACTAGCTTTGACATTCATGAGTGTATCATGCCAACCATCACAGTCCTGCATCAAGGTCAAAAGATCAGTACAGTGATATTCTGTATCATAATACCACTGGTCAATGTTAGGTGATTGCTAGGTGACCAGCCTGTCTTGCACCATGGTTAGATATCCAGAGCAGGAGATTAATCACAAGTTCTTTGTTTCCTCGCCAGCTGTGTCCTACAATGTGAATTCTACATTCGCGTCAGATTGTAGAAATCCGAGGGATGGGTTCATAAAGCTGTGATTTTTGCCAGATGTCATATGCAAGAGATGTTAAGTATAGCTCTCAGCATCTTAGTGTAAGTTCCATTAAGCTTAAACTCTAGGGTTTTAGTTAATGTCCAAGCAGTGGCAGCATACATTAACATCACCGCTACAGTGGCCCAAAAGAATCTCAGAAACCCACCAAAACTACAAACATTTTTAGTGATGCCAGATGAAAAGCTATTTTTACAAAAATAAATAAATAAAATAATCTTTTATAAGACACTGAAACTATTTCATAACATTTTTTTAAAAATATATTGTAAAATATATATTACAATTGAACATTAGGGCAGGGCACTTGATTTTTATTTTTTTTTTAGAAAGTCAACATTGCATTTATTGTGAAAGCTGGGGCTTGATGTGATAAGGAAGGATACCAAAAATTAAAATCATAGATTTTACCAATATTTGAAGTATCTAGTTTTAAAGATCATATGAAAAAATGTACAGAAATACCTAATTTCCACAGGTTTTTGCTTACAAACTGACTTCAAAAATTTACTATTTAAAAAAGAAAAATTTGATATCTTTTGTATTATATACAGTAAATGAAACATATATTCAAACAAGAATTCTAATTATGAATCACAAGCAAATGTTTCAATTTTTTTTTTTTTTTTACTGTATTTGATAAATAAAAACTGCATAAAAAGTTGTAAAAGATTACAAAAATGGCAACTCAGTGAATAAGATTTGTTAGGTCATAATTAATAAAAATAGATAAAAGTGTATATAACTTCATAATACTGCTGGTCACAAATTATAAGACAAAATGTTTCAAATTTGCATTTTTTTTTTTTATTGAAAATCACACTAAAACAAAAGTACTGTATATAATATAGCTAAATTTTTCAGTATAATTTCCCTTTTAAGTAATCATTACAGTATAATGATTTAGTAATAATGTGCTTGCCATGCATCTTGTCCACATACAATTTATAAATTTTATAAGGCTTTCACTGATCACCAGAATGATATTCAATCACTATGATTTTGAACCTAAACTTAATATTTAAACTTGCTTCCTCAATAAATGGTAATAATTTGGAAAAAAAAAAAATTTTGTGTCATTATTTATCATGTCAAATCCCAACTTTCAAATTGAGTGCAATACCACATTTCCCAAACTGACCTGCCCTATTGGACACTAAATAGACTGTTATTAAGAAAATTGACTTGGATATTTTAGCAAGATTTTAAAACTTCCAGATCTTGGGCACTATTGAAGAACTAAAATAAAGATGTGTTTAAAGAATAAAAAATGTTAAGTTGAAGTAACAAGTGTAAACTTCTTTTTTAACAAAAATTTTTATGTATTTTTTTGATTTTACCATTTGAATTTTTTTTTTTATTCCACAAGATTAAAAATCCATGTCTGTATTTATAAAAATAGACATTTATACACACATAAAATAAATTGAAAATTCTTTTTAAAATACTGGGGATTGTTGAATTGTGGCAAGCTTTTTCATTTATGATGAGTAAACAGTTTTAATTCAATAACTTACTTATTAATACAGAATTTTAAAAGACTTAAAAATTTATAAATTATTCTAATCAAATTTTTTAAACGTGAGAACAATTCTTCTAAAAGGTTATTATTCAACAAAAAATGTTTTTTCTTAAGATAATAGTGTCCATAGTGTGTATAATATAAACATTAAGTACTATAAAAAAAAGAATTTCTTGAAATTTCACAAAATTAAATAACTAGGGGAGGAGTAACAGATGGAAGAAAATATATATTTCAACCAAGATTTTCTAAAAAAGAAACCTTCAAAAAATTAGTTCATTTCAAAATAAGTCCTGAAAATTTAACAATTATCTGATTTTTGCAAGAATTTTCAAATAAATTTGTTTTTCACCATGAAAAGTCTCTCATACATATTTATCATCCCATATTTTTCGTCACCTGAAAAACAAGATTTTTAACCGAAATTTTGAAGGTTCTGAAAAAAAAAAAAAAAAAAAAAAAAAAGATTAAGCTGTTGTTTTTTTATTTTTTTTCTTACATCAAAAACTCCTTTGGTTTGGTTTTTCCTGTTAATAATAAAGATTTTGATGATAAAACTGTTTTTCTTAAGTTTGGGGCACTTTTTCGTCATATATGCTCAATTTCTTTTTTTTTTTTTTTTGCAAATTGTAGTTGATGTCTATATATACATAGATGTGTGCATGTGTATATATATATATATATATATATATATATATATATATATATATATATACTATATATATAGTGGCAACTCCAGTGGTCAGGCTTGTCAGGCACAGCCAAGTGAGTCAACATTCAAATATCTATTTCAAAGCAACAAATATCTTTCGTAGTGCATCATTTTCATTCTTGACTTCAGTTAGATTCAAAATTGTTTCAACTCCATGCCTCAAAATATCGACTGAAAAAAAATTTTGTTGATATTGTTCATTATAAAAAAAAAAAAAAAAAAAAAAAAAAAAGAGGTAAGTAAAAAAAAAAAAAAAATTAAATAAAATTAACGTGGGTAGTCAGGCTGGAGACATACTTAATAGGCAATGTATTTCTTGCTTTAATTTTATAAATAGTATTTTAAAAATCTCTAATCACTTGTATACCCTTTTTTCAAAGAACACATTTTTATTTAAACTTATTGTTTTCAAATGTTCATTTTAAGTAATTTATTCCATATAGTATAAGGTTTAAGGCAGAATGTATAAATTGAAAAAGGGTAAATTAAATTTAGCCTGACTTAAATCAGTGAAAAATCAAAGAAAGTGGCAACCTTAACTCATCTACTGGAGGGTTGGGGTGAGGAGTATGATGAGGGTAGTATTGAGGAAATATGATATCAGTCAACAGTACTGACCATGTAGTACAATAAATTAAACTAAAAATTCATAGGGTGATACATAAACACACATACATATATATATAGATATATATATATATACACATACATATACACACAAACACACACTCAAGATAGATACATATATTTTGCATAGCTGGAAAAAAAATTTTTTAAATAAATGTTTATTTTTATAGAATTAATACAATTAATACTAAAATACCAAAATGCGTTTTTTTAATTTCATGCAGAGATTTTTTTTAAATTATATATTTTAGTTAGAGTACAGGAATCATTTTAGCATCTAGGTTATACCAATAGTATATTTTGTTAAAGATTGTATTCAGCCCGACAAACATTGATGATCTAGCTAGAGTCACCACTGATATGTGTTTGTGTGTGTTCAGAATAGAATGGTTTAAAAAAAAAATAAAAATTAAAACAAAGGGAGGTAATTCAGTATTTTCTTCTACGTGAAAAACTTTCAGGGTGTTAAAAACGAGGGTACTCTGTTTGGATAATTAATTAACTATTATTTGACTCCAGATTTTGTGTTCTGTTTCTTTTTCCCTTCTTTGGTTTACGTCATATAATGATCTAAGAAGAGTAATTATCATCATTAACACGAGAACAATGTTTCCATATCGTCTTTTAGTTTTTTTAAATTAGACTGGTTCTACTAAACAAAAAAAAAAAAAAAAAAAAAAAATGGAAAAATTAATTAATTCCTTCGGCTGTGACGTGTCAGAATCGAAAAATATTGATTTGTTATCGGTTCAGAAGAGGGGATCCTGTCCATAATAACCGTCTGGTGTGAAATCGATCCCAGATTTTGTGAAGTTATTGGAAAGGAGCAATTTTGTTTACAAATGTCACGTTGGTTGAAATTGCTCGATTAATATCCGCATATTGTTTTTTTTTTTCTAATGATTTTTTTTTATTTTTTAAAATGTTGTATACTAATTAAATAAACGCAAAGATTTTAATTCATGTAAAATAAAAAAACACCCCTACCACCTTAACTTTTCCTCAGAAATAGTTGAATTTTGCGTTGCTACTCTGGAAAAGAAGTAATTTTTGTCCGATCATTTTTTTTGCACTTTCGGAAAATATCTACATTTTAATTCTAACTATAATGTACAAAAATTATCTCTCCCACCTCCGCTGCCAAAAAAAAATATTTTTTTTACGAGTGGACCACTCTAAGTAGCATCTATGAGGAGACAGTTACTTGCATTTCTAGAAGGTCTTATTTACTTTTAATTTAAATCTTTAATAAAATTGATGAGTCTGGATACAGAGTGGAAATCGAAGAATTTTTGTTTGCACTGAGAATGTCAGTCACCAATACAATTTATGTAAATTCATAGACTCAAAAAAAAAAAAAAATAAAATAAAAAAAAAAAAAATAAAAAAATCATTATTCTTGGCATCAAATCACCACGGATTTATAAAAGATTATTTGCATTAAATTGTAATCACCTATCAATTTTCTTGATTGAAAACAAATTTCCAAATATTCAATGTCTTAAATTTAATTCGTGGAAAGTAGTACTTTGAACAGGTGCAAAAACCATAACAGCGCCGTTATTTGTGAAAACACGAAATAGTTTGATTTATAAATGACACGGATTTACTGGCAGTTTTTTTGATTGTTGGAGACGGATTTTTTTACGTTCCTTCAAAGCAACACACTTCCATTGTCTAACAAAAATGCTACTTAATTACTCAAACTAAACAATACTAAAAAATAAACATATACCTGAAAGTCAACCTCCTAATCTGAGAAAGCCAGACTTTGCGTAGATTTTCTCCACATCGCTCACCAGACAAAATTGTCTTATCATCTTTGGGGAAAGTGTGAAAATGTAGATTAGGGTTTTTCTTTGAGGAATTCTTGCACGCGGGCACACAGCAGAATGCATTCTGTCCTTTTTTCTTAAAGAAGAGTCGTAAACGTCGTTTGTTGGCACCATTGGCAGTTGTAGCCGAGGTGTCTGTAGAGTTAAGGTCATTAGTGACTGTGACAGCGTTTGTGGAGGTAGTGGTAACTGGTGTCGTGGTAGTTGTGGCCACCGTTGTTGTTATTATTATTGTCGCTGTGTGGCTTTCGTCAGCCATTGCTTGTTTACCCGGAAACGGAAGTACGAAGAATAAATTTCCTGTCTATGGAACCGGGGAGGCTACAAATCATTCAATTTACCAAACTTTAAATTTTTCAAAATCTTTTGTCTTTTTTACTTATTTATATTTTTTTTAATATTTAAACTTCCAAAATCTCCAGTTTATCTAAGGACCGTTGAACGCCTGCTTTTATATATTCTTTGTCTATTCTTGTTTGCCAATCACATCTGCTTTGGCCAATAATATCGTCACTTCCGGTTCGGTTTCGTATAGCCAGAGAAACTGCTTTTATTTATCCCCAATTTTCCACTTTCTTATTTGCAAGAAAAATTTCTGAATTACATCTACAATGAAAATTTTAAAACAAAATGCATTAAAATCTCCATAATGTTTATTGCATATCTCACTCATTGATTAAGAAGGGATATTTTTCAGGAAAATATAAATTAATTTGATTATTGATTAATTTTCAAAAGTTTTGAATCAAACAAAAACAAATAAAAAATCACTTCACTCCAATTATAACAAAGTTTCTTAATTTTTTTATACCTGAATTTTATTATTTTAATTTAAATATGCATATTGTGACGATAAAAAAATAAAATTCAAGTGATATCTTTCTATTTTGTAATAATAAATAAAGTGTATCAAACTAAGTGAAGTTTGGCACAAGACCAGGTTTATAACGCCATCACAGAATAATAAATTCTGCAGTTCCCAGTTATCTCCCCCTTACTTATTTCTCACTTAGAAGATTGATGCTAAAATTAATAGCATGAATTCATTACTGGAGTTCAGTGTCCAATAAAGAAATAAAAAACTAAAGCGCTAAATTTAACCTTTATTTTCCTTCTATGAACTTGTAGTCATATTCATAATTTAGATATCTAGTGTATGCATATCAAAAAAGCCACGCATAAAGAAAATCTCAAGACCACAGGCTCCAAGAAAAAAAAATGATGGAAAAAAATTCTAAAATAAAATTTTAAATTTGAGAATGTAGTAAAATAAATACATAACGACAGATAACGATGAATGAAAAGATTTTCAACCACTCGCTATTTGTTTAAGTAAATTAAAAATCCTTCAAATGTTCCCCCTTAAAAACGGGTAAATACGCGTTTTTGCAATTAAGAAATGCCAGCTCATCATTCCAAATCTACGCCAAGTCGCTCCCTTTATTCAAAGACAACAGTGAAACGGCAAAAAATCAATGTCTTATTGACAACTGAAACTACATACCAGCTTCTTGAAGTCAATACACTTTATAATTTATTTTCTGTTATGAACTGTGAGTAATATTAATGACAAGTATAATGGATGAACCTGAGGTAAAGTTTATGTACTCGCAAAAAAAAAAAAAACAAAAAAAAAAAACGGTGTATCAAAAGGATAGTTTTTCTCTTGACACTGTTATGACATTATCTTTCCGCTACAATTTTTATTATTTAAAAAAGATATTTTTCGGAGTTTTAATTAAAAAAAATGAAACTGGATTTATGCGTTTTCACTTTTTATCGAGACATGTTTAGCACCCCAATACCACTTTTTTATCTGTCGAATTTTGCACAAATCTGGGCAAAAAGTGTATCACAGAGCTTATTCAGCTTCATACATATTTTCAGAAAACCTCAACTTCAAATAGGTCAGTAAACTAAACACACAAGTGGGCGTTGCAATCCATCCACGCACAAGTCTTTTTCAAGCGCGTGACTAAGTTAAAATTTCCCGCTTTTTTCACCTGAGCCGATCACGTGATTACGTTGATTATAAATACTAGACACGAGTTCGTTCTCTGCTCTCTTTTTGATTTCTCTTCGCTTACTGAAATATAGCTGTATAAGAAATGGAGTTCCGACGCTATTGAAAACATTCACGCACGCACGCACGCATGCACGCACGCACGCACACACGCATACACGTACGTATGAAACTTAATTACAAACATTACGATCATTTCAAGCATCAACATATTCTCACTTTATAAAATTCTTTCAACTCTCTCACAATGAACATTTTGAGCAGCAAGTTCATTCAACTTTTTATGAGCTCACAAAAAAAATATTTCATTAGTAAAGACTTTAATTCTAGTCAAAGGGAAGTAACCCCTATGCTTGTACATCACAGATAGGAGTAGGTAGGATTTCCTACCGCCCGGTCAACACTCCTCCCTCTTCTCTTGGACATGAGTAGAGGCTTACGCCTTGTTTCTTGTTTAGGAAGGGGTTTCCGGTACTCTCTCTCTCTCTCTCTCTCTCTCTCTCTCTCTCTCTCTCTCTCACTGGCCTCTGTATCTCCAGTTGCCTTGATCTATCCACTACCCTTTCTCCTCATCCTTTCTTCTATCACTCCTATCTGATCTTGCTCCAAATTTTCTGTAACCCCTTGCGTCCTAGTGGCTTTCCGCTTTGCTTGGGGTGAAACGCTTAAAAAAGAAAAAATATATATATATAAATATTCTTTGTTTGTTATAAAACCGTTTTGTGTTCTTTCTGGTGTTGCTTTTAAAGTAAAAAATGTACGTGTTGATCTAGGCCGTCAATACCACTATAGTTGACAACTAAAGTATTTTTAAATGCTATTTATGTAATTTTGCAATTAAATAAATAATGTTTAGCATTTTTACTGTCACATCACGAGAAAAAAAATAAGTATATCAATATAGATTTTTCATTTTTTTTTTTTTTTTTTGGTTTGTTTTTTTAACATTTCACCCCAATGCAAGGCGATAATGCCACTAAGAAGCCAGGGACTACTGGAAGTGAAAGAGAATTAAAAAACTGTAAAAAATCGGAAACCCAATCCTAAACAGGAAAACAAGGGATATGCTCTGTAAAGGTAATACCCGGATTTTTTTTGGATTTTTTTTTATCTCTAATTAAATTCATTCATCGTTATATGTTTATTTTTAAATTTTCTTTTTTACAAACATTTTTATAAATCTATGAATAAAAAAATTGTTTTCATAGTTATTTCTTTTCTATATGGTTCACATATTTTTATAAACTTCTTGTAAATATAAAATTATTCTTCTAAATAAACAACTAATAAACATTGTTTTATTTTTCGGGTTTTGGTTTTTTTTTTGGTTTTTTTTTCTCAGTTTTCGAGAAAAACGTGTTTGAGTGTTATGAAATTTCTACAAATAGCTTTTAAAACTGGAAAAATTGCCGACAGAGTATAATACTAGCCGTGTCAAGAGAAAAACCATCCTTTTTTGACATACCTTTTTTTTTTTTTTTTTTGAGTGTTTATGTTTTTTAAAACTTTGGCAAACCATCTCAATGCCCTGACAATGGCATCCACGGTGCTAGTAGTGAATGAGTCGAAAGACCACCACTTTTTGCTGAAAGTGAGAACGAAACAGAAGACCAATTTTTTCTTCTTGGTTTCAACCTATGACAATGCTATTGAACTGAACTGTTATGGGGAATTTGTCCCAGCTTTCCCACATGAAAGGGTTAAGGTTAAAGATGACAGAATCGACAAAGCAACAACGGCTTGGAAGTTTAGAGCGGACAATTCTCTGTTTTAGGCGAAAGAATTAAAACTCAAACTCCTTTTCGGGGTACAACAATAGAAGAAGAATATGTTTATTTACATACACAAAAAAGTCAAGGGATATACACAAAAAATGAGAGAAAGAAAAGGAGAAGAAAATTCCTTTAAAGGAAGAAAAAGTGCTCTTAAAAAGGCTTGTTCAAAACATTTCTCTGGGCGCTTAAAAGTTCTTTGAGCAAGTGAATTGTTCTTAAGGGGTTTTCTTTTAACACTCACATAGATTTCTTCATAGCTCTTGTTGAGGGGAAAACAATCGGAAGATCCGTGGTTTGTAGTTGAGTGAGTTCGTAGTAGTGGCCAACGACAGTAATTTCAAAGTCCTAGGAAGCAGATCTTGAATAGTTTTAGAAAGGGCCAACGTTATGTCATTAGAGCCCAGTATGTAGATTTCTTCCTTGAAATAGTTTCCGAAGATGACTGGTGTTACTGCTGCAGACTTGATGTGATCACAGACGATGTCCAATACTCACTGCCAAATAGGTGCATATTCTCTGTATTTATCGAGATTAGAAGGCTGAGAAATAGCGGAGACATTTCCCGCCAAAATTGCTATACACTTTCCCGGCCCTCTCATTCACCAGAAAATGTATTCTTATCTCTGATAGGGGTCAAATGTTTGGGAGTTGGTTTTAAGCAAGGGTCCGACAAGTTGTGAGCGTTTCCCCCGATTTTATAGCACCATGGTCAAGGCAGGGGTGATCAAATTCCTTTTTTTATATTTTCCATCTCTATCGTTCGTCAGAAAATACATTCTTAACTCTGATAAGGATAAAGGCTTTGGGAGCTGGATTTGAAAGCAGGGGTGAAAGTCGGAGCAAAGATCAAAAAAGAAGCTAGAACGTGAACTTGTAAAACATAGTAGTAGTAGTAAGTAGTAGTAGTGATTCTCAAATTAAATTCTAATACTGTATCATTGGAACACTGTGAGGTGCCCTGCCCTAGGGAACAGCTGCCCGAGGTTGAACCCTCTCATGGCGCTAGAGAGAAGGATCGGTGCTCGCACCAAGGCCAGCGTAACCGACGGTTGCGGGGACTCGGGGAATTTTTTACCTTGTGTCACATCTTGCCCCATTGGCTTCTATAATCTTTACGGAAACGTCTATATAGGTTGTAGAGTAGGTGGAAGTGAACAAAATCAAATCAAAGGAGAAAATGACAAAATTAAATACACCGCACAAGGGCTCCGCGCAGTCTTCCGGGTTTCAAACATACTTCAAGTTTTCAGTTTAATAAAAAAAAAAAAAATAGCCAACAAAATCAGCTCTCTCCAGTAAATAGACACAGGCTTCTGGAGCCTACACAAGAACAGAAGAAAAAAAAAACAGACATTCATTCAACTCGCCAGAATAACTGACAGCAGTAAAGAGACATGAGTCAACCTTGGCATCTTGTCTTTCTCATCAAAGCTACAGCGGACTCTCTTCCCAACTCCACTTACTCTCTTCCACACTGAAAGACTATTCATGTTGATTTCCTTACTGCTAAAGAGAGGTAAAATTTGTGTACCCTAAATAAATATCATTTTTATTTGAACACGCAACAATCTTTTCTCTCATTTTTTGTATTCAAACGGTGACCCAAGGAATCTTTTCCAAACAAGGTCTCATTCCAGAAAATAAAAACAAACAATAAAAACAAAAAAATTTTTACTTTCGAATAATATCGGATGATAGATCTAAAATTATGGTTAATTTTTCTTATGAGAGGATCTGACGAAAAATATATATAGAAACTAAGAGTTGGTAAATTTGCAGATAATACCTCAGTGACCAATTTAAAGGAAAACGATATCATTCCTGATATAAAATGCCTGATTATTCCATAAATAGCATTAAAAATTGAGGGAAATCTACCATTTAGGAGATATTGACAATCTTAGTTGGGTCCCGGTTACATCCTGGCCTTTAATAAATGCCCTAGTAACTAATGTTAAGAAAATGTGTTATTCCTAACTAGATTGTCAATACCCTCCTAAAGGGTAGCCTCTCCGCAAATTTTATTGCTATTTTTGTAAAAATCATACTTTTTTTACACCAGGAATAACGCATTTTCTTAGTCACTGGGGCATTATCTGCAAATCGCGGAGTAATGGAGGCCAGGCTGTACTCGGGACCCAACAGAGATTGTCAATATTTCGTAAACGGTAGAGTTTTTTCAATTTTTAATGCTGTTTTCGGAATAATCAAAATTTTTTACTCCAGGAAAAACGAATTCTTTAAATTAGTTACTAGGGCACTATACGCAAATCTCGGGACTCAACTAAGATTGTCAATATCTTGTAAACTGGTAGTTTCCTTAATTTTTAAATGCTATTTTGGCGACCGGGCTGTAACCGAGACACAACTAAAATTGTCAATATCTCCTAAAAGGCAGATTTCCCTCAATTTTTAATGCTATTTTTGGAATAATCAGGCATTTTTACACCAGGAATGATACTTTTTTAAAAAAAAAATTGGTCACTGGGACATTGTCTGCAAATTTACGAAAGAGTTTTAATTTGAGTCCCGATATTAAGTTTTAAAAAAAATAACATCTGTTGCTTTTAACATCTGTTGTTTTTGACATCTGATTTAGCTCCCTACCACATTTTATTTTGTGGTGTGCATCTTCAGTATTCAGTTATTTATTAAATTTACTTATCAAGCCCATTTTCATCCACCCACAAGGGAGATAACTACGTGTGTAACTCTTCTCTTCCCCCCCCCCCGTTCAGCGCACATGTGAAGCAACTATTGTTATTCTTTGACAATGTCCGTCCTCCTCGGCATAAGAGATGCAGCGGTTTCAAAAACAGCCCAAACCTTTCCGACACTAAACAAAATTGGTGGAGAGCCGGTGAGTAGAAGAAATGGTAAATTTGTAGATGATGTCCCACTAACAAATTTTAAAAAATATATAATTCCTGGTGTAAAATCGCCCAATTATTCCAAAAAAACATTAAAAATTGGCGGAAATCTACCATTTAGGAGATATTGACAATTTTATTTGAGTCCCGATTACTGCGCTAAAGTTTACTGGCATCGGTTACAGATAATGCCCCACTGACAAATTATCGAGGCCAGTTGAGTAAATAATCTTTCGCGCAGTAATCGAAGGTAACCGGGACCCAACTAAATAGTCAATATTTTCTAACCGATAGATTTCCGCCAATTTTTAGTGTTATTTTTGGAATAATCAAGCGTTTTACAACAGGAATGATATTTCTTTTTATTTGTCACCAGGGTATTATCTACAAATTTACTGAAGAAATTTGCTCATCTACCCGGCGAATATTTTTTTGTTTTGATAACGAGCACGTGGCATTTTGCCGATGCAACAGAGAAATGATTAATTAGGGCACGTTGAAATGAAATTATTAATTTTGGCTTGTTTTTCTTTTATTGCTTATTTAAGTTTTCGGCTTTCTAGGTTGATAAAAGAATTTTTGTGAAATTTATTTGCCATATTCTGGAAATTTCCGTGTTGAAACAGGAATTTTCTACTTCAAGAGCGCGTCTCTAATTTACTGTGGTACCAACCCTAGTCCTCTACGACGCTGGGCTTGATATTTTGTAACATTTATTTTTATTATTGTCAGTAATTCCAAAACCTGTGTGAATTTCTGGGATGAAGAATTATTACTTACATTCGGACTAATGTCTTCATCCTTTTTTCTTCTTATCACAACGTTTCGACTGTTGTGTACAACGGGCTTCATCAGGTGCCTATCGATCCTTGTTAACCTTCAGCAATACGTAAGGTTATAAAAAATGCATTTTTAAAATGAAAACTAATTCTTGAAGGTTTTAGTTTTAATTCCAAGCTAATGATTAAATTTTTACCATTTCCAATGAGCAAAATATACTTTGCTGAACTATTTCAAACCTAATGTAAATTGATTGTTATTTTTTATAATTATCAGTATAATCATTATAAAATTGTCCATATTGACGAATCTGTCAACACAACATAACTTTTTAAAAATTAAAAATCTTTTCAAAAATAACGTATATACTTTCCTTTTCTGAAACTTTATTTGATGAAGTATTAACTGGTTTAAAGTTTAAATTAATCTGAATTAAAACAAATATTACTTATATTTTTTAAAATATTACTGAAAAAGCCTCTTACTCACGGAGGTGAGTATTTTTCTTTTGATAACCTGATGTTTGCAAGACGTGTTTCGAGATAAATAATTGTTTAGCATTCTGCTACCACTTTTCTATCAATGTCAATTTTTGTGCAAGTCTGGATCACAGAGACTTGATATTTTTCTCACTTCTCATTGGTCAGTTAATATTAAAATCATGTTCTCGCCTACATCCATACAATGCCTATGAGTTATTCAAAACCATTTTTCTGCCAAAAATTAGAAATGTCCTCCAAAGCCGATCATGTGATTACGTTGATTATAAATACCAGACACAAATTCATTCTTCCTCTCTTTTTGATTTCTCTCGCTTAATAAAATGTAGCTGTTTAAGAAATCATGTTCCAACCTCTTTCAGGCAGGTGCTATAAAAACATCACATACATAAATGTACATAAGGAACATTACATAACACTACAAGCAACAGAAACTTAATTACAAACATTACAAGCATCAACATATGAATATTGAACTACAAGCAACAGAAACTAATTAAACATTACGGAACATTCACTCCTTCAACTCTTCTAAAGCTAAAAGTTTATCAACATATTCTCAGCTTTATAGAATTATATCAACTCTCTCACAGTGAACATTTTGAGCAACAAGTTTGTTCAACTTTTTATGAGTTCAGATAAGAATATTTCCCTAGTAAAGACTTTAATTCTAGTCAAAGGGAAGTAACTCCTATTAATTATGCTTGTATATCATTGGCATACATAAATACAAATATTCTTGTTATAAAACTGTTTTGTGTTCCTTCTTATTGTTTCATATTTTGTGGTATTTTTCATTAAATATAAATTTGATAGGTCACACCAACTGACTGACCACTACAATTGTAGTAAAATTGCATGACAAATTTTTAATAAAATTTAATAAAAACTTTTAAATACCCAATAATCTTCAAAATTTTAAATATTGAATTTATATATTTTGTCTTTGTTGTCTTATTTATCAGGACACCTTCTGAGGAAATGTTAGAAAATTAACAATAAATTTTAATTTTACTATAGTTACTGCTCTTATTTTCTCATAATGTTGTGTATGGACCACCATTTTTTCAAAAACAGGCATGTTTATACACACTGAAGTAATATGCATTTATCTATGCACCCATTTCACAGAATGTCATCGTTTCTGAGGAGGAGAAGGGCTCATAAGTAGGTTAACTAATGAGAAGGGAGCCCCATAGCCTGATGGAGCCAAGGCCACTTTTGAATTCAGAGTTTTCCTTCTCCTAAACCAGTTGCCACCCAAGGCTAAAGAGCCCCATCTGTCCTGCTATTTACCCAAAGTGGAGAGGTGAGAGAGAAGAGGATTCATACCTTTCCTAAGGGTATTAGCATGCAAATGAATGTAATGGATCTGAATGAATTTCGAACTTTGCTCTCCAATTCCTCAATCTGAGTCATTATCCATTACTTCACTGTGTCTCCTACACACACAAAAAAATGTAAGTTTTTCCATTTATTGTTAGTAAATATAGTTTTTATTTAATAACAATATCATTTGATGGCTAAAAATTAATACAGAATTTTAAAAGATTGTAAATTATTCTAATTAAAATTTTTAAACATGAAAACAATTCTTGTAAAAATTACTTGTTCATTGAAAAAAAATCCTAAGAAATTACTCACAAGAACTGGCATCTGAAGATCAATCAGTACAACAGTTAGAATATATGAGTACAGCAAACCCCACCCACACTCCCTCTATATTCCATCAGTGAGAAGTAAGTTCCACTCAAATAGCTTCTTTCTGCAAACCACTGCCCTATGGAATTGACTCTAAACAGGATGTTTCCTCGATCACTACAATCAACCTATTCAAGGCTAGGGTTAATTGTTAACTACCTCACCTATACACACAAATGATCTCTTAATGTAACCCTCTACCTTGAGTGGCCCTCCTGGGCTTTGTAAAGAGTGACTCTCACTGTAAAAAAAATCAACAACAAAAAAACACTAGGACTGACATCAGAGAAAGGTCAGAGAGTACAACGGTAGCAACATTGTGACTATAACAAATAAGATTAGTGTAGTCATCTGAGTAAATCAGTGCATGATTCAGCTACAGTCCATTTTAGAGTTTCAAACAAATTTTGCATAGTAAACACTGATTTATTTGCCTTTCTTTGAATGTAAATTTCTTGAATAAAAATGGGCTATACTTGATAATTCCACATATCTAAAATTCAAGCAAAATTTGGTAAATGATCAATTGAAACTTTTTTTTTGTTTTTAGTTTTGTTGGTTTTTAATCCATGATTTTTTTATTGTTTTTTATAAGCAAGTTTGGATTTGGGCCAGTACTTAAGTTGCTTAACTTTTTCACAAGCATTAATTAATACTGAAGTTTAAATTATGTTTGGGCCTAATAGATAAGAAAGATATTTAAATCAAACGAGTAGAATTGGTAGAATTTTTGAATACAATTTAAAATGACATAGTAACTCTTTTTGTCTAATTTTATATCCTTTGTTTTATGCTCTGTCTAGTCAGAATCAAAAGAGACACGATCACACAAGCACATATCACATATGGCAATTAACTGAAGCTATCATCACAAGTGGAGTGCGTTTTTTTTGTTGAGGCAGGACCAGGGATAATCTCGCACAAAGCAAAGTAGGTCTTGCCAGACACAGGATTTGTCACAAAGCAAAGTTTTACAAGGCTGGATGTGCTTCCTGAAGCCCAACTCGGACAAGAGACAATGTGTTTTTATCAAGACCCCATCTCTAGGAAGGTTGTCATTCAAGGCTTGAGACCCCGTCCTAGCCTTATATATATATATATATATATGAATGAATGATAAAATATAGTTTTAAGGTGTGCTATATTTATGGGTTAAAATGCTCAATATTGAGAATAGAGCATATGTAAATATAAAAGAGGGCATTGAACTCTGACAGTCTGTTTTATGCTTGAACACAATTCTCAGGCCATGACCTGATGATTGCTTTTAAGCATGAATGACTGTCGCCTGTGGGTGTTGACTTCAATGTTCACCTATATAGAATAATAAATATACTTTTTTTTCTCACCAGTAGCACAATTCTGAGTTTTATGCAAAACACAATCTTCAGGTGCTGATTGATAACTGACCTTAAAGATAAGCACCTGTAGATTTCATTGTACATGAAACTTGGAGTGTGGGGAAAAAATGTATATTTATTATCAATATATACTTTATAGCTCTGTTATTCCACATTGTGCACTATTCTGTTAACACCAATACTCAATGTGCAATATTATATATATATATATATATATGCAAGACTTAACAATGGCAGTATATATCCAGAAAACTGTAAGTCGCAACACAATGGCTACAAGTGAAAGAAAAGAGGAAAAAGAGAGAAAAGGTTATGGTGTGAGTGTAAAGTGAAAAAAAAAAAAAAAAAAGAGAACGATGAAAAAGACAAATGACCATGACATTCTAAATGTACAGACATACACACAGATGAGAACACATGCATGAACACACATACACAGGCACACATACACTATGAAAAGAGTATATAGAAAAGAAAAATCAAGATGTATACGCAGTCAATTGCTGATATTCTCTGATAAGTGGACGGGGTGATTCCTGAAGGGTCTGTCTATGAAACTCTGAAGTTGGAATGTTGAAGGTAACATTTACCTGTATTAATTCTGTGTGTGTGTGTATATATATATATATATATATATATATATATATATATCCATCAATTTTAATCTCATTTTTCGTTTCATTTCATTGTTGGAAGTGCTATCTGATGATCCGGCGTCCTTTTAATAGGACTCTGGTGAAATAAATTATTATAATGGTACCTGAAAGTGGTCTGTTTTTTTTTATATATATATATATATATATGTATATATATATATATAATAAACAGAATTAATAGAGGTAAATTTTACCTTCAATATATATATATATATATAAAAGCAGTAGTCAAAAAAATTAATTTCAAATAAAAATTTAATTTTGAAGAAAATTTTGCAACTGGGAGAAAAATCTACAGCGGGAAAATTATAAACAAAAGCAAAATTTCATGAATGTGCGCATGTTAAAGAAATTCATGAATATGCATGTGCACAAAGTGAATTGAAAAAGATGCACAACAAGTCAAAAAAATTGAAAATATCATTTAAAACCACAATCCCTGAAGACTGGAAATTTTATCAAAAAAACTTGGAGTTAGGATAAAATTGATATTTAAAATTAACTAATCTTTTTTATATAACATATATATATATATATATATATATATATATATATATATATATATACGCATACATATGTTGGCTCCTAAAAGATCTTGTTTTTCATCTTATGAGGTGACATGACACCCTTCCTCACCAGCAGAAAAGCTAATGGAGGAGCTGGTTTAGATCCCAACCTCCCATTGTATTGAGTTATATGTTGCCAGAAGCAACCCTAAACTTGACCTGACTTGGAAAAATATTATTCAAATTTGAGTACAGTTGCTTATAAACACAAAATTGTGTATTAGTGTACAACTTAGTTGAATTGTTATTAATACTGCTACAATTGGTATCTGGTGGTCTGAAATAGTTATCAAGCCTAAAATAGTGTTCAGCCATGATTACTTCCCTGTCTGGATTGCTGTGTTAATAATTTTTTTTTTTCTCAATGTCCCATGTAAATAGATCTGATTGTTCATCTACTATGATAATTATATTTTGCAAGTTAATTTATAGGAGTCCAGTAACTATTTTTTATTATTTTATCTGTTCAAGGAATTGGTATCTTGATATGTGATATTCTTTGTCTCTCTGATGATGTTGCCTCGTAGTTGACATACACTGAAATGAAATTTTTTTTTATTAATAAATTCACTATAAGCAAGGTGATAATGTTATTAAAACAAAAGGGGCTACCAGGAGTGAAAGAGAACAAAAAAGACTTTTATTGGGTTTTTCTTGCTTGCGTGTGTGTTTGTGCTCAGCAGTGTGAGGGGAATAAACAAAAAAAACCCAAACTGGTCTAAAAAGCAGTGCAAAATAGTAGTAATTTGCAAGGGAAAAATGGAGTTTTCTCAGTTAACAATGTTCTTGAGTAAAGTAGCTGTTTTTGTTGAGAGAGATTTCTCTGCTAGTTTCCATGGGACGAACGAGAAATCCAAGGGTGAAATTGCTAAGATAAGCCTTGTCTTTTGCAGCAAAGGTTGTTTGTAGTTTTCCTTTGGTGGGTGTTTCAAAGGGAGATTTCTCCCACAGGAGGAATGAGAAATCTAACATAAAGCAGCCAAGACAGGCCTTGTCTTTTGCAGCAAGGGTTGCGTGTAGTTCTTTGGTAGGTGACTTGAAGGGAGAGACTGCTGAAAGTGTGAAATGCAAAAAGCTGGCCATGAGCTACAGACTGCTGAATAGAAAGGTGGAAGAGAGAAAGACAGACAGCTGGCCATGGATGCAGAGGCAGCTAAAATTGAATAAAAAAGAGACTGAATAGGGCTCGATCAAGGCTTTTTATGACCTCTGGGACTTCCGGTTGTATTCTGCTGATTATTTTTGCTGCTGCTGCTGAATCAAGCAAAGTTAGGAAGTCCCCACATGCCATAATAGCCAACAAATGAGATAGTTTTTATACTTTAGAAGGAACCAGAAACTCAATCCTAAACAGGAAACAAAAGATAAACCTCTACTCCTGTTCAAAAGACAGGGGAAGAGTGTGAACCAATGGAAATTATTATTTGATCTCTGTTCACTGGTGTTGATGTCTTTCTTTCTAATTAATATCGGCATATTTTTCTACCATTGAAAGCAGTGCCAGGGTGGTTATGCAATTTATGGATGTGCAAGTTGTATAATGTTCAGTTAATTTGCAGTATAAGTACCAAAAGCCCCTGGTATTGAGAATGTACCATTCTAGTACGAAATTGCTTGTTTATTTCAAAAATGGCATTAAAACTTTTCAATTTATCGTCAATGTAAGTTTGACCTCTTTCATGTCTGGTCACCATCACTGGCATTGTCTACATGTATTTTCCTGTGCAGAAGCTTACTTTGTTAATGGCCTTTTTAAAGCTTTTTGTATCTTACTGTTCTTGATTACTGCATGATTCTCGTGGATGTTATTTTAAAATGCGCTTATTTTTTAAAATAAAGTTTTAAATGAATAGTATTTTTTCTTTATTATTCTTAATAAATCTGCTTATAGCTAATGAAACAGAATTTCACCCTAAAATGTAATTTATGAAGCTTTAAATTCAAGAAACTTTTACAACACAAAAAAAAAACATTGTTGAAAGGAAGGAAAAAATCCTCTTTATTTTTCAGGCATGTAATTTTTATTTTAATTGTCGGATTTTACATTTTTCTGCACATTATTTTGTGCATTAATTTCAAACATCGCACATTGTGCAGTAATCAAGACAAGTGAAGTTTCCATGCCACATAACTACTCGAGGCAAATGTATGTAAACAATACCAGTAATGACGGACATTCTGTGTACTCAATGAGAAAGAAGTCAAACTTACTTTGTCCATTACTTCTAAACGGTAATTGAGCACTGTGTTTTAATGTCATTTTCAAAATAACCAGGCAATTTCACACCAGAATGGTACATTCTCAATACAGGCGGCTTTTGGTGCTTATACTGCAAACTAACCTTTTTAACATGATGTGACAGTCTGTTTCATGCTTTGACAATTGCATTGAAGCATGAAACAGACTCTCACTGGTGGGTGTTGACTTCAATGTTCACTTGTATATTTACATATGCTCTTTCCTTGATATCATCATAGTGAATACTTTGAGGAGGCACAGTGGAGTAATGGATAGCAGCTTGGACTGAGGAATTGGAGAGCCAAGTTCAAATTCCATTTGAATCCATGACATTCATTTATGTGCTAATACCCTTGGGAAAGGTATGAATCTTCTTCTCAAAAGCTATGGGTAAATAGCAGGACAGACTGGGTTCTACTGCAGAAAGAAATGGCAACATAATGCGGGAAAAAATCTGCCTCATCAGTCATGTATAGTAAGATACATGATCGCCTAAGTGTGCATGTGACTGAACATAACTGACTGAATACTTTGTATTTTAAATAAATTCCCCATTATTATTTACTTATGCATTCAAATCTTAGTAAAGAAAGTGTGTTCTCCTGCAGGGATCAAACCTGCATCTGTTTTTTGTAAATATTTATCAGGTAAACTGAAAGTCAAGGTAAATTATGGAGAACAATAACATATATATATATATATATATATATATATAGGGTTCCAATACAGATTGGAATCCAAAAGAATAAAGATAAAGAACAAATAGGAAAAGAAAGTTTTATAAAACTTGTACATGTTAAATTGATAAATGTTACATGTTTGTTCTTCATCCTATCATATATGATTAATTCTGATCGAGCACTCTTAAGAGAAAGCGCGAATTTATAAACAATGACTACTACTGCTAATACTGCAAAGCTCTTCTATGAATTAAGCCCTCTCAGTTACTGGCATGTTTATTCGAAGAATAAGTAAGTAAAAATCCGCCTTCCTCTCTACTGGGTACTGATAGCTCAGGGGTAAAATCTCCAACTGATGCCAATTCTGTCGGGTTTTGATCCTGGCTTGAGGCAATTGGAGTCTAGCCACACTAATGAGTTGTGATACAGTGAAACAGTCTCTGTGGATAACAATATATATATATATATATATATATTAAAAAGAAGAGAAGAGAGGTGCCGCAAACGTTTTTGGTTGTAATGTGGATTTATTTAGAAAAAAATATTATGCTTTTACCTGAAGATGGTCACGAGACCAGAAACGCATGTAGTAAAATTGTGGAAAACAAAGCATAATATTTTTTTCTAAATAAATCCACATTACAACCAAAAATGTTTGCAGCACCTCTTTTCTTCTTTTTAATATACATACTTTTCTTCATTCATTTTCTTTTTATATATATATATATATATATATATATATATATATATATATATATATATATATACTACTAAATAGACAATGCCCGACAATTATTTTAATATATTTTATTGATATATGTTATTTATATAGACACAAATATTTAAGTAAATGCTCTGTTTATAATAAACAGTATTAACAACATTTACTGGCCTGGACATCAGAAATTTTCACATAAAAATATTTAAATATTTGTGTCTATATAAGTAATGTCTAACAATAAAATATATTAAAATAATTGTCAGATTTTGTCCATTTCATAGTGTGTGACATAATTTGTTTATGTTTAGATACACTTCAAGTAGATATGATCATTCAAGGGAAATTATGGAAAATTGTAGTTTGAAAGCAGTAAAATCAACCTTGTTAACCAGATGGTCCTCTGTAGCTAAACTGGTATAGCACATCAGACTATATGATAGTTCCATGTAGGATACAGGCTCAATTCCTGTTGGAGGACACATATTTTCTATGAAAATTTCTTGGACGTTCAGGCCGGTAAATGTTGTTAATACTATTTATTATAAAAAAACAGAGCATTTACTTAAATATTTGTATCTATAAAAAGAACTTATAACAATAAAATATATTAAAATATATATATATATTCTTGGGATCTTCATGTTATGTTTGTAATTTACCCATGCATTTTATTTTAATTTTTTTTTTTTAAAATGTTCTTTTCTTTTCATCCCAGGACCATTTTCTGAAGTCTAGTGCTCCACTCCTGTGTCCCCAGTGTGAGAAAATGATGCCCTTGGTGGTGCAACTCTACTGCCCTTTGGATCACTCCCCCTATCATAGAACACTTTACATATACACTTGTGTGAACAGACTTTGCTGGGGGAAAAACTCCAGGTAAACCCTAGGCTAAATCATTTTTAACTTTTGTAAATATTGTTTGCATTTTGTTAGCACACAAATCTTACTTCATTAACTTAGGGGGGGGGTAGAAAAAAAGGAAGTACAATTCTGAAAAATAGTTGAAAAAAAAAATTAAATGCAACATTGATCATCTTCTGCTTCCTTGAACCCTGTGCTTTTATTGTACTTTCTTTCATTCTCAGTTACCGCTTACATTTTAGCGGATTTTATCTCCTTGCTTGGTGAGAAATGATAATTATATAAAAAAACAGCACTTTAAACTTAAATGAAACAGTTTGTAAGAAAATTCCACTAAAATTATCAATGGTGATAAAAAGCATCTAGTTTATCATTTACAAGTTTTTTCTCTTCTACATGGTTTTCCTTATTCTAGATTTGTCGTCTTGGCTGTTACAATCTTGCCGCCTTCACATGCCTGCTATAGTTATCAAAGATTGTTCTTCCATCAACTTGTACATGTATAATGTATATTGTTTGATTGACTCTTGTTCTGTGGCTTATCAGCCCTTTGCAGGTTATTTAAATCCAGGGAATAATTTTAGATTGTAAGATTTTTTATTTTTTTTAGATAATAATGATTTTAGTGATATAAGTCTTACTAATTAACCCATAACTGGGGAGAAGTGGATACATACCTTTCCCAAGGATATTTTGCATAAGTGAATATAATGAACCCAACTGGAATTGGAACTCTGCTCTCCGATTAACAATTTTCTGCCATTATCCATTACACCACCTGTACATGCAAGCTTACAACTCCTGGTATTCCATATATATATATATATATATATATATATATATGAAATGGTAATATATATATATATATATATATATATATGAAATAGTATATATATATATATATATATATATATATATATGAATATATATATATATATATATATAGAAATGGTATATATATATATATATATATATATATATATGAAATAGTATATATATATATATATATATATATATATATATGAAATTTTAATATATATATATATATATATATATATGCATTAATATATATATATATATATATATTTAGTAAATATATATATATATATATATATAAGCAAGTGTAAATGGATATAAACTGACAGAATGAAGAAATTTTGAAAAAAAACAAAAAAAATTTAAATGTAGTTAAATGAAAGAAATGTCGATGGGAGTCTGACGTTTGGTTTATTAAACCTTTTTCAAGACAATATTCATCAAAATACAATTCAGTTCAATATGACAAATCGATGGACATAAAAACACAAGTCTTATTCCGAACAGACATATTTTTAGACATATTACTCATTAAAATAAAAATAAATTAGAATTCAAAGTATATTAAACCTACATGTAAAAATGACTATTTACATTTTTACTCTCACCATGATACTAACACTAAGAGGGGTATTGTTATTGGATTCTATTTGAGGGCTCTTAGCATCTGTTCATCAAAATATTTAAATGATGAATTTACATATATTGAGGATACGATTTTTCAAATCTTCAGATCCGAGACAATTTTTACAGAGAGCTAAAAATAAAGCGTTGAAAATTCACTCATCAGCGCAAAATGACACCTCAATTTATATTACTGTAAATAGATCAATGAAAGATACAATTTCAGCTACCTCTGATAATATTTCGTTTTTTCGCATTTTTTTACCAAATAACCATTTGACCGAACGTATCTCTCATAATCTAAATGCATTAAAAAATTAGAACTACTATATTACCTACTAGGACTATCCGTAGTTTATTAAATAGCACCAGCAGACAACATATTACATCCGATGCTTGCATATATCAAATATCATGCAAAATTGTGACCTAAAATATGTAGGTGAAACAGGTAGGTCCTTAAAATCTCGTATTTTTAAAAACATAAACGAGATATTCGTCTCAAATAATTTAATAATGCTTTAGTTGTACACACAACTAAAGCAGAAAAATATTTTCGATTTCGATTCGTGAAAGTATTAAAATATTTTCATAATAAAAATCTCAGGAGGATTTATGAAGCAGGTATAATATCCATCTCACGCATTTATTGAATACTAGACCTGGTTTCTTTAATATTTCCTTTTTTTAGCGAGATTGATGCTCGACAAGCACACACATAAGAATTTTAGAACCTAATAGAATTCTTTTCATTTTTTTTTCTTTTTCATTTCAAAATAATCACAAACTTTCAGGAATACGTTATGAAAGCGTCGCCCATGTGACGATAGCGTGACCATGTTAGGAATTTGATCATTTTAAAAATTTTCAGTTATCTGTTCGGAATAAGACTTGTGTTTTATGTCCATCGTTTTGTCATATTGAACTGAATTTTATTTTGATGAATATTGTCTTTAGAAAAGGTTTAATAAACTCAAACGTCAGACGCCGACATTTCTTTCATTTAACTACATTTACATTTTTTGTTTGTTTTCAAAATTTCATATATATATATATATATATATATGAAATGGTATATATATATATATATATATATATATATATATATATATATATATATATATGAAAGTATATATATATATATATATATATATATATATATATATATATGAAATTTATATATATATATTGAATATTTATATATATATATATATAAATATATATATATATATATATTTATGAAATGTATATATAATATACAAATATATGGGTCATTCATATATATATATATATATATGGCATTTTATATATATATATATTTATATTTATATATATATATATTTATGATTCTTTTTATATATATATAGTATTATTTAATGAAACTTATATATATATATATATTCAATTTAATATTTAATTTTATATTTCAATATTTAAAATTACAAATATATTTAAAATATATATATATTTTATATATATATATTATATTAGACTATATTATATTTATATATATGAAGGAATATTATATATATATAACATATATAATTATATTTTATAATATCCAAGTATATATAAATTATATATTTTATATACCTTTTATATTTTAAAATATTATATTTATATATATATATATATGAAACTTACTACAAAATTAGCCAATATCATTTCTCGGATTATATATATATATATATATATATTATATGAAACTTAATTTATTTATTTATTTATAAATATATATATATATATATGAAAGTATAGTTATCATATATATATATATGAAAGAACATATTATAAATATATTCATTTATTTAACTACAATTTTATATTAACAATTTTAAAATTACCACATTAATAATTTGAAAAATATTTTCATTATATATATTTAATTGACTATATTATATTTTATAACGAAAGGATAATTACTCATACATAAGTATAATTATTTTCCATAACAAAGTATATATAAATATACAATTTTTAAACTATTATATTTAAATATTTATATATATATAAATGGCACAGACTATAAAACTATCTAAGTCATTTCTCAGATTTAGTAAATATATATATATAATATAATTATATATATATATATATAAATATATAAATATGAAATATATATATAATATATATATATATATATATGAAATATTAAATATATATATATATATATAGCTTTATATGAAATTTCATTTATATATATATATATATATATCATATATAATGTAATATATATATATATATATATATATATATATATGGGATATATTATATTTAATATATATATATATATATATATGTTTAAATTTTAATATATATATATTATATATATATATATAAATATATATAATATATATATATAATATATATATATATATTCAATTTATTTTTTTTATTTTTTTTTATATATTATATTTTATAGATATAATATTTAACAAATGCTCTGTTTAAGATAAACAGTATTATAATATATATCTTAAAGATTATTTTAAATAAAAATTTTTTTATAAATATAGGACATATATAGTTTCTGTTTAAGATTAGTATTTTATAACATTTACTGCCTGAACTGTTTAATGGTTCTGTTAAAAATTTATAGCTCTTCTTCCCATTAACCTTCCATTTTACTGTCTATGAGCGAATTTTATTAGATATGAAAATTTAGATCAGAAATATAAATTTTGAGAAGATGTTTAAATATTTTATGTTTATTTATTCTAAATGACGTTTATGTTAAGAAATGGACATTAGTTGAAATTTATTTTTAAATTCATGGCTATTTGCAACCTATATATATTTTATAGATACAAGATTTTAAGCAAATATATATTAAGATAAACAGTATAAATAATGATTCCTGTCTATGAAATAATATTTATATATGAATTTATTTTGTAAATGTGGGCAATTTCAGAGGTTTCTTAAACAATAAATAGTTTGTTTATGGTGTAAATATCAGTTTTATCTTAATTTTTCTATGAAATCTAAATTTTTTATATATATTTTGGTATATAGTGTTTATTTAAGATATATAGCATATATGACAGTTCTTAATGATTTTTATATAAAGTTCTTTATATACATATATAATATATATTTAGTATATATATATGAAAATATATATATATAATAATATTTATTTTATACATATATATATATATGACTATTAATGTATATATTTATGTCCTAATCTATATATCTTTATATATATATATATATATATATATATATTTTTATAAATGTATATTTATATATGTTATCCATTTTATATTTTTATATATACTAGTTTTGGTTTTTATATATATATATATGAATGTAATATATATATATATATTATATATATGAAATGGTAATATATATATATATATATGAAATGGTATATATATATATATATATGAAATGGTAATATATATATATATATATATGAAATATATATATATATATATAAATGGTATATATATATATATATATATATATATATATATATATATATATATATATATGAAATTGGGTATATATATATATATATATATATATATATATATATATGAAATGGTATATATATATATATATGAAATATATATATATATATATATATATATATATGAAATGTATATATATATATATATATATATATATATATATATGATGAAATGTATATATATATATATATGAATGGTAATATATATATATATGAAATGTAATCTATAAATATATATATATATATATATATAAAATGGTAATATATATATATATATATATATATATATATAATATATATCATATATATATATATATATATATTATGAAATGGTAATATATATATATATATATATATATATATATATATATAATATATATATATATATATATATATATATATATATATGAAATGGCACGTCATATATATATATATATAATATATATATATATATATATATATATATATATATATATATATATATATATATATATATATATATATATAAAAATATATATATATATATATATATATATAAATATGAAATGAAATATATATATATATATATATATATATATATTTATTAAAATAAAAATATATGAAATGCTTAATATATATATATTATAAG